TTCAGATATTTGGAATAATTTGACGTAGCATGCAAGCCGTTAGAAATTGAATGTTAAGAGAAAAGTTCCTAAGTTTGAAATTCAGTTTCTCGTATTTGAAGAATAGGCGTAAGACTTCATTTCCATAACGTCGAAGTAGAATGCAGTAATAGATTAATCTGGGGGGGGAGAGACAATGACTAGAGAAAATCACGGCAGAACATGAAATCTCATTTATCTTCAGACTTTATGAAACTGTATAATTCCTTTATCAGATATTTATAATGACATACAACAGGAATAATGTGTTGTAAAATAAAACACAATACAAATAAATGTGTTCATACAAATAAGAAATGAACCGTATAGAAATCAAAGTTTAACAGAAATAGGAAATTGAAAGAAGAACTGGAAATGTTTCTTAGGAACATCTTAACTGATTCGATAGGTAATGAGATTTCTGCAATAACTGAGGAGTTGTTAGGCCTAGAAAGTAGTTGTGTGAGTTTGCGAAATGAAGTGGACTCAAAAACAAAGATATAAGAAAAGACATACAACACACAAAAATAGGCAGTATTAGGCTTCGTGCTTATTGTCTCAGTAAAGATTAAAGGCATAGCACATAATAACCATTATTTATATGGTTGGCAGCAAACATATACACTCACACAGTTACATTCAAGCCCTTCATAAACAGAATCAGCCAGCCAATAATATCCTCATTAGAAACCCAATCAGAGAAAAAGAGGTGAAATTCAACTGGGTATTTAAGCTGCACGGAAGGGTCAGAATCGAAAAGCACCGTCCGTACAAATGGGCAATAAAATATCGAAAGAGCACTCTGTTTGATTGCGTTTGGAATAAATCTACAGCACAAAGAAAGCTTTTCACATTTGTGTTTCCGCAACTGAACCCTCAATTCAAAAATACTAAACGCGTACGCAGAAATAAGTTTAATATTATTTAGCCCATCCATGTTTCTATATGTAACCTACTTATTTGGGATTTGTATTAACACTCTGTATAGTTACTTGTTTCACATGCTATATCACATATTATTGATATATATATATATGATTGCAGATTACGATGACAAATTTTTTAAATTCTAAAACATCCGATCGTTGAGAAAAGTCCAGCCCTATTACGTCTCAATATTCTATTGTTACCATTCCAACGTTATACTTGTTTCCAGTTCATGAGAAACTGGGTCTCTAATACATGAGGGATTCTTCAGACGTTTGTCCCTCGGTGGGACAGCGGTAAGTCTAGGGACTTACAACGCTAAAATTCGGAGATCGATTCCCCGCGGTGGACCAGCAGATGGCTCAATGTGGCTTTGCTCTGAAACTAACATACACTTTAAACGTTTAGTTTCTAGCGCCTTGCAAGCAATCATTTCAAACTTAATTAACTTAACAGTTACAAGTCGTAGTATCCAAGGTTCTTGAGCTTATCATTCCCGCAAATATTGATTTCAAAAACAAGAACTTAATATAATATAAAAAATTAAAATCACCGCCTGAACTGAAGATATATATAATGTTAAACTTCACAGACTTTTTCCCAATTGATATCTTAATAATATCGTCCTTAACAAAACTTATTAACAATAAAGATGTTCAACTAACTGAAATTGTAAAATCACACTAACAATTACTAATTAACTCATCCTAGAATGAACTATTTAAAGTACCCTATTCATTAAATATATATATATATTAACGTGGTTTCGGCCTGGGATGACATGTTAACGAACATTCTCGCCTTTTTCATGGTAGGGGTGTTATAATGTGACGATCAATCCCACTAGTACTTGGTAAAGAGTAGACCAAGAGTTGCGGTGAGTGGTGTGGACCACCTGCCTTCCCTATATATAGTCTCTCACTTCAATAGTCTTTGGTAAAGAGTAGACCAAGAGTTGCGGTGAGCGGTGTTGACTAGCTGCCTTCCCTATAGTCTCTCACTTCAATAGTCTTTGGTAAAGAGTAGACCAAGAGTTGCGGTGAGCGGTGTTGACTAGCTGCCTTCCCTATAGTCTCTCACTTCAATATTCCTTGGTAAAGAGTAGACCAAGAGTTGCAGTGAGTGGTGTGGACAAGCTGCCTTCCCTATAGTCTCTCACTTCAAAATTATAGACGATTAGCACAAATAAACAATTAAAGGTTTTTCCTATTTTAAACAGATTATCCTGATTTCAGAATGACGTAAACTAGATTAAAAGAACATCGCCCTTTGTCCATTATATAGATCCCTACACACCTGCCTTAAAAGCAATAGCAACTTGGATGTTGTCCGACTTCGCGAAGGCAGAGGTGTATTTATTTCCAACAAGAACTGATTATATCTCACAATATAGCTCAAGGAAAAACACGATGCATGTTAAGGGGCATAAGAAAACACTGGGGCATATCAAATAATACCTTCAAAGAAATTACATTTATGAATTTCAACCAGACATTCTGTATCGGTTCCTACGCTTGAAAATCGCTATCTTCCTAATACTTCTATTATGTTTTGTAACAGTCAACAATTTTGTAGGTAAATATTATATTTTGTTGAAAAACATTTTCCTCTTGCCTAATGCCGATCAAAAGCCATTTTTGATATAGGAGAGATATTTAAAGACTTTTCACCCAATAAGGTACACAAATCTGTCTTAACTACTTATTTTCTAATAAAAATGACTTACTTAATAGTTTTAATTCTGCGATAAGCTACACGAGAGTTATCTGCGTTAGCCATCCATAATTTAGCAGTGAAGGCAACTAGTCATGACCACCTACCGCCAACTCTTAGACTACTCTTTTACCAACGAATACTGAGATTGATCATCACTGCTGTTTGGTGGGACGGGGATCGAACCCGCGACCCGCAGAGTCGAGCGCCCCTAACCAAATGGCCATGTTAGGCCCACACTAGTTTTAACCGAAAATTCATTGAAATCTTTCTCCCACTAGACTTTCAGAGAATGATCACTCTGTTTT